TAAGAGCTTTGATGTCAATTATATTACTCAATGGTAATATTAACCAACAGTTACTATTAAATTAATTGTTGTAGTAATATTAACTTTGGAAAGAAAGTACAATAGACTCTTGCTAAGTGAAACTTTGCTTAAAATGGACAAAATTTTGGAAAAATTTAAATTAAAATAAAATTTTAAACAAAAATAGCAGTTTTGTGGCAAATGCTACCTTTCCCATCTTAACTGTTGTAAAAACAAGCAACAAACCCCGAGTGGTATGCATCATTACTTCCTAGAATGAGTCTAACACACCCAGTGAGACCATTGGTAGTTACTTGTTAGTCATGATGATGTAACACGTGTACAGTTTTTGCAAGGAATACAAACTTAGTTGTTGTGTTATAACCTTTGTCTCATTCATTCTATTATGTGCAATGACAAAAATAAGAAAACAGAAGTAGAACCACTACAGTTTCATTTGTCTACATCCTCCTTAAAAGAACACAAGCCATGTCATATCATGCTCACATCATCTGATTACAATTTACATAAGACAACATTCACATCATTTTGTCTTCTTCATACTCTAAGTGACTTGTCATCATTACAGTAACAAATTCTTCCAATACTATGCAATTTTGTACTCAAGTCCTAATAAATTATGCATTATATTCATTTCCAATGACATGAAGAATCCTGCTAACTCAGATGACTTTCAACCCCAATTAGTCTGACTTCACAAAGTTTCACTGTACTACTAGAGTAGTTATAACTTTAATATAGGAAGCTTCTTTTTTTGACTCTGGTAATGTACAAATTATTCTTTGAGTCTGAGTATCATAATATATTAAGCAAGTATGAAAACTTTCTAATCATTTGATTTATCAGAGTCATTGCAGTAAAGTAATTATTGAGACAATATCACATTATTTCCGTAACAAATCCATTTCCCTGTCAATGAACCTCTTTACATTTGCAATTGTGTTCATATGCAATTATTTCCACATCACTTAAAGTTATTACCTTAAATTTTGGTTGGTAACAAGTTGGTTGGATTATTTATAATTTGTTGCAAGAAATATTAATTAAGCAAGAGAGAAAGTTGGCTTTTTATTATCATGATTTATGTTAAAAGATGTAAATGTTAATGACAGCAAAAACTAAGAAACACAATAAAAGAACACTTTTCTGAAAACTACCCTTGTCATAAACCATCTTCAAAGTTATTTAAGAACAAAAAATGTTTGAAACTTAAAATTATACTGCATTTTTAAAGGTTTGATCAATAGTATGGTGGTTTACAATAAAAGAAGTTTTATATTGAAAGGTTAATGAATATTCATGTTATATTAAAAAAAGCTATTAGTTTTGTAAGAGGACAGTGCATTCCGTCAATGATAAACTTACAAATTAAGATTTTTAATAAATGGCTATAGTGAGATATTGGGTGCTTTGTGATTAAATTGCAGGATAAACATAGTTGATTACAAATATACTAACACAAAATAATTAATAATAATAAATCATCTTTTATTGGCATAAAGAAACAAAAAACATAAAAATAAAAACAAAACCCTTCCCAAGCACTTTCAGACAATCAAATCCATCATCAAAAGAATCCATTATTATAAGTTTGGCAAATTCAAAAGTTAAAACAAATTTTAAAAAATATTTTTTTCAAATATCCATTAACATTATTGATTGGATAGAAGACAATCTCTGCAGTTTGGTTATCTGAAAAAAGAAACTATTTCCAAATCTAATTTTGATTGCAGAGTTGATCTGCTATCATTTAGATAAAAATCTAAAGAAATGAGCAGACTTGGGAGACTAACTATTTTGTGCATCCATAGATGTAACAACTCATCAGCATTCTCTCTGTATGCATATAAAAGCTACACTAATAAGAAATAAAATTATAAACAGCAGTGATGCCAATCAAGCAACTTCCACAAAGCTTTTGCCAAACTGCACTCTAGATAAATATAAAATATTGACAAACAAAAACATATTGAATTTGCAGGAAAAGTGTGAATAGTTTTGGTTTTACAAGTTATCTATTCCAAATTTGATTTTGAATTTTAATGTATCATTGAACCAGAGTGATTTAAAAATGGTTCTCAAATGACTGCAAATTATGAAAGAAGCTATATGAATTCTTGAACAGCATATTTAAATTAGTGATGGGACAATACCAAAATTTCTCCTGATTCTGATTCTGCCAAAAACTCCCAATTCTGATTCTTTTGAATACTTTTCAAAGTTTATTTTACTTTAGAAAAATTAATGATTTATATTACAAGCACAGTAAATTCATTAATTAATAAACATCAAGCTTAAGAATAGAAAAATGATCAGAAAATCCAGAATCAATCTTTCAAGAAATGTGAAAATTCTTTATTTATATGTGGATACATATGCTTTTATTGTGTACCATAAAATAAATTTGTAATCTTCTTTCAAATAAAGTTAATATTGCAACATTATCACAGCTAATTCCCTTTTACTCAACAAACTATCCCATCATGCCATGTAGAGTTGCCATATTTGAAAACTGCTTCATTGGCTGATGCAATGACTGGAGGGGAGAGAATAGTAAATGAGAAGCTGCACTTTTTTCATGCTTTTTGCAACAGGCATGTCTTGTAAATGATTTAACTCCATCGTATTCAATGCTAAATAAAGTTTGGAAAATGATGCAATGAGCCAAACAAATATCATTGTCACAAGTTAACTAATTTTTAAATTCATTCACTTGAGCCACAAATATCTAGACCAACTCTTCTTGAAAAATCAATTTTTAAAACTCAAAATGGCATTTTTTTGCTGTAAAAATACTCAAAAATCAAATATTTTTACTCAGAAATGCACAAATTGCATTTGAAAATTTAACATATTACAGCATCATCTGTGAATCATAACAAAAACTTTCCATAATTATAATGAGAAAGTCATTTTATCATTATAAGTAAACATACTAAATATTAAAAATAATTTTATATAATATTTCTTCAATCAAAATATCATTTTGTTTATATTTTATACTGTTCTGCTGACACTTAAATATTTTTGCCAACCACTGGCCTTAATTTGAAACTAGATAGCACAATAGTTCAATCAATGCTAACACACTTGTAATTAAAATTTTAAAAAATTTTTAAAAAGCAGGCAAATTTATAAAACAAAAATTAATAAAAATTACTAAAAAATTAAAATAAATTTAAATTTGATTATGTTTTGTACAAAACAACACTAAAATAATTTCTATAGTTATATCATAAAAGAAAAAGAAAGTTTCAATTTATTTTAAAAATTGTAATTAAGAATTCAAAAATGCAGGCAAAAATTAAATAAATAAAAATAATAATTAAAACTCTGGCCTTTACACTAAAAGCAAAAGTAAAAATAAAATTAAATTAATTAAAATTAAAATCAAATCAATCGAAAATTAAAACAATGTTTTAGAAAATCATTTAAAAGTTTTTTGAAATTTTCAAATTGTAAATCAAATTAATTTAAAAATTTACATTATAAGTGTGCAGCGACAACCAGGACTGTGGAGTCAAAGTTGGATCGTTGAGGTGGAGTCAGAGTTGGGAGGAATTTCTGGCCAGAGGAGTCAGAAAAAATGTGTTGACTCCAACATTTTAAATTTACTTTAATTTTTTTATTTAAATGAAAGAAAATTTATTATATATTTATTAATTTTTTAAAATCATTTTGTATTTTGTTATAATTCATTTATTTTAAATACAAAATGCATCAGTTTAATTTATTAAATATGTAGTATTCTTTGTAGTATTTGTGTTTAGTGGTTAAATTATTTTGACCCAATTGAATTTGAATATTTTGGAATCATTCCTTTATTATCCCTGCTCTAAATAAGTACTCTATTTTTCTGAATGAGCCAGACTAATTGATCAGAGTACATATTTTTCTTTTCTGAACAAGGGGCTGAAGTAGTTAGCTAAATCTCACACTTTTTAGTTGGACTAACTTTTCTGGAAAAGTGAAATTGAAGTGCAAATGCTGTCGAATATATGTAGATGTAGAATTTTATTGCCCCCTTTCTCCTCTTATTAAGTATTTGTTAAAAATTAATTTTTTTATACAAATAAATATTAATGTAAGTTAAATATTAAAAATACTAACTATAAAAGTATTTGGGTAAATGCTCCAGGCTCCTTTCAGAGTTCAGAGTAAAATAGCTCCTATGACTGCCTCTGCCCCCCATCCCCCCATAAAATTACTTAGTATTTAATTTGCCAGAGTCAGGAGTCAAAGTCGGCCTACTAAAATTATCAGGAGTCAGTGTTTTTTTACCGACTCCACAACCCTGGCAGCAACAGAACATTTTGCTTTTAATAGTTATATAGATATATTGAATACAGAGATAGCCAGTCTAGCTGGCCCAATGCCAGCCAGATAGCAACCCTAAAATTGGAACAGTTAGAATCAACCAAGTGCAATCTCTTGTCACTGACTACACAAAAAAAGTCCACTGTAATGGACATCACTTCATGTATGCCCTGTTGTGTACTTTCAGCTTTATTGATGTGAAAGTTTTCAATAAACTAATATTTAATTGCTAATATCGCAATTTCCATCATTTTTAATCTTTGACTAAAACAAAAATTAATTTTCTTATAAAATGTAAAAGAATCATTTTTAAGAATTCGAAATTATGATAATGTTTTCTTGATTCCAATTCCTGGAAAATGTCCGATTAGTGATGGGATGATAAATTGTCCAATTTACATTAAATATTTCAATGATTATTTAAGTACTACAATACAAAATAAAAGAAAAAGGAGGAGGAGAATAGAAAAGATTACATTAAATAATAATTTTATTTTTCTCATTATACTGTAGGCATAATTCACTTTACTTTTTAAACCATCTTTATATTTCAACTTAAAAATAATTATAAAAGAGTAATTATTCCTCCTCCTTTCTTCAAAAAAATGTATAAATAAATTTTATATAATTATCATAAAATTTTTTATTAGAATAATAAATACCATTATAGCTAATTCTAGGTTTAGTAAGACACATCACCAAATGGCACTCAACATCATCAGGTGGCACAAATTTGGAACATACTGGACATTTAATACCTGAAAGATATAAATTTAATTTAATAATCTATAATCAAATAATAAATTTAATAATCTATAAATGAAGATTTTAATCTTAATTTACTTTTTGAATGTAGAGAATTATTATTACAATCATAATGTCTATTATTACTAAAATAATATGATCAANAAAGAAATCTAGAATGCACTTCCATCAGTGATTCACTACAAAAACACAAGGAAAGAGATCCATTTCTGAAGTGGATGGTAGCAAGTGATGTAAATGGATCATGTACAACAATGTCAAGAGGCAAATGATCATAAAAGCTGTGTGTGTGGTGAATCACTACAAACTAATTCAAAGACAAGGCTTCATCCAAACAAGATCATGCTCTCAATTTGGTGGGATTGGAAGACTGTTGAATGTTATACAAACTTTCCAAAGAACAAAACAATCAATTCAAATGTGTACTGTGGCCAACTGGACAAACTGAATGCAGCTATCCACAAAAATCATCCAGAATTGGTAAACTGGAAAAATGTCTTGATCTTTCATCAAGACAACAGTAGATCTCACTCATCTTGCCAACACAATAAAAATTATTGGAAGTGAGCTGAGAAGTCTTGCCACATCCTCCTTATTCACCAGATATTGCTTTCTCTAATTACCACCTGTTTTGTTCTCTTCAAAATTCTTTAAATGGACATTGCTTTGTTTCCAAGAAAGCCATCAAATGGAACTTGGAACAGCTTTTTGTCAGAAAGACATGAAGTTCACATTAAAACAAAAAACAAATCAAAACAGCATTATTAACAATTTAACCAAACCAAAACTTATACAAATATTCATATGTAATTTGAAATTAAAAAAAGATCCTTGAAATTTTATGAATGTTGATGCTGCAGAGAACAGCTGATTTTGACAACAGCTTTGAATAATGTCACTGCTGAATAATGTCAGTATGTCTCTAATCATATCATTTTGCAGATTAAGTGAGATCAATATGTTTTAGAGCAGTTTGTTTTGCTAAGATTCTTTCCAAGAGAGCAAAACTTTTATGAATCATATCAGTTATAGTGAAATAAACTCTTGCTTTCTACAAGTGATCAAATCAAGGATGGAAATTTCCCAACTTGCTCTTCCCTGCTGGCATCCTATATCAATGTCACAAACAATGTAGGTTAACAAAAAGTATAACTTTAAATAGATTATTTTTACTTATTCAAAATCATTTAGTAAAAGTTCTTTTATAAATTCCAAAATATTAAAATCATTTATTAAAAAATAACAACAACAATCAATTAATATAGTCTTACCAGTATATAAATCTGTTTTTTTAATGTTCTTTTTATATGCTAAACAAGAATGTCATTAAAAATATGCTGACAATGTAAGTCTATTATTACAGTTGTTCTGTTAAGTCATATTTGCAAAAATAGTTTCCTAAAAAAAATGAAAATTTTATGAAAATTGTAATCTCATAATAGCAGTAAGAAGTTCAATAGACAAATGAATCTTAAATTTTCTTCATTGTTTCCTTTATTAAAAATTCAAAGGCAATATTTTTAATGATGTTCTTGCTTACTATATAAAAATGATATAATAGAAATAGTAAATCTCTATTAGTTTTCATTTTTTTTTTAATATTTCTAAAGTAATGTTTATCATGAAAAAATTTCTATTATTATTGCAAAATCATTTACTGTATTTACTCGTGTATAAGACGAGGTGGGACTTTAAAGATCAAAATAAACAAAATTAGATTTATTAATACAATTTGAATTTTATTTTGTTTAATCACAAATAAAATATTATCAAATGCACATATTACGGCAAACAGCAATGTTTTCTTAACGGTATCACCTTTTGTCTACTCGAACTCGCCCTCCAATGCTTCACTACAACTTTCCTCTTTTTCACTCTCACTCCACAAAGCTTCACTTGACAGATCCTCTGATCAGTCAAGTGAATTTGAAATGCAGTATTTCATGAATGACTTTTCTATCAGCTCTTCAGGAATGTTTTTCCACACACCTGATACCCATGTAGCAAAACCAAAAAATTATAATGCGAATGACCAGAAAAAGTTTATTTTTAATGATTTAGAATTCATTAAAAATACCAATTTAACAAATATGAAATAACTACATTTATGATCATTGCTAAGTGACCAACTATTTTCAGACCATCTTTTTGAAAGTGACATTCACCTTGACCTCGATAGCACCCTGCTATAATGGCAGCATGAACTATATACAATTCACAAAAATTATTGCAAAAATGCAAAGAATCCTTCACTCGCATGTATAGGATAACCTAGGTTTTTGAAGCAGCAAAAAAAACAAAACAAAAAAAAAACCTTGTCTTATACACAAGTAAATATGGTAATTATATCTCAAATTAAATTATTAAATGTTTAAATATTTAATAATTGATAAGAATTTTAACTTTTAGAAATTTTCTAATAATTATAATGTAACAAAAATTATTAAAATTTTTAATTAAAATATTTTTGTAAGTTTTTATATAATATGTTAAAAAGACGAATAAAACTAATTTTATCATTTTTTTTTAAAATTACATACATTTCTTTATTTGCTTATTAAATATAATTTTTTACATGTAATTTTATATTAAACTTATAATTTTTACAAAGTTTATTTTATACATTTAAGTTTTGTATAAAATCGTCAAATTACTGGATTAATACGTGAATAAATCACATCACCAACACCAATAACTAGCAAAAAGATTGATGACTTATATACAAAAGAAAATATCAGTTTACAGTAAAATTTTTGTTCTTTTTGCTGATTATTGGTGTCAGTGGTGTGATTTATTTAAGTTTTGGATGATTTATCCAAAAATTATATCTGTAAAATAAAAAAAATGTTTAGAAATTAACTTTTAAAACAGTAAAAAGTTTGGCAAAACTTTGCTTTTTAAATGCTCATATTATAATTTTTTAAAAATCACAATAAAAATTTTGGCAATTTTAACATTTCACTTCAAACATTTTTGATGCATTCAGATCACATTCTTCAGGAAAATAGTATTTGAGAAAGTATTTTAACCATCTACAATTTTTCTCTGAAAAACTATATATGCAGTGCAAAAAGTTTATTGTGCATATCCTCTGACTTGAAAAGTTAGGAAAGTACTAATTTTTTCAGATCTTTCAAAATTTCATGAAAAATGGATGTTACAAGTATCACATGGCATCTTACAGATGCCAAACAAATAACAGAGGGTTAAGTATTGGGTTGGCCATGTGGTTTTTGTTGATAGATGGTGGTAAATATTATGAAACGCAACAAACTTCAGTTTAAATTTTGAAAGCTTGTAACTATCTGAAATTGACATAACATTCATTCTTTATAAAAGAAAAAGCATTAAAATTGGATGTGTTTTGTGTGTTCGACATCCGTTGAAAGAACATACAAAACACAACCAAAAACACTGTGCAAATCTGTAAAAAGATATGTGCAGTGTATGGCAAGAATGCCTTGAAAGAATGTGTGTACCAGAAGTGGTTTGCAAGATTTCATTAATGGAGTGAATGAAGATTTTTCTGTCCAACACATACCATGCTTGGGCCAACCCCAAGAGGTCAACAGTAACAGAGCTAGTCAATACCAATCCACTCTATGCAGTATGGAAGATTGAAAGGATTCTCCAAATATCAAAATTGAGCATGGAAAACCATCAATTTAGCTATGTTATCAAGCTTGATATTGGGTTTTGAATAAACTGACTGAAAGAAATCTAGAATGCACTTCCATCAGTGATTCACTACAAAAACACAAGGAAAGAGATCCATTTCTGAAGTGGATGGTAGCAAGTGATGTAAATGGATC